GTATAAATAAAAACTCCACAGTCCTTGGCCTGTTCCTTTCCTCCCAGCCAGAGTGAGGGCTACACCTGACCTCAACTTTCTGTCTCTTATTTCTCCAGCCTCTCTCAGTCCCTCCCCTGGGAAATTTGAGAGCTGTGCAGTATACAGTATGGTCCTAATTCTCCAATTAAAAGACACAGATTGGATTGGTTGATTGGATATAATCCATATTGGATTGGTGGATTGGATATAAAAAGACCCAACTTCTTGGTACCTACAAGAAATATTTGTTATCTACAAAAATACTCACAGCCTGAAAATAAAGGAAAATAGTATTTCAGGCTACTTGAAACTGAGCAAGTGGCAGTAGTTGTATCCACCAGAGCAGACTTCAAGCTAAAATTATTCAAAAGAGACAAAGCTCACTATATAGTAAAGGGAGCAACTCATCAAGAAGCTGTAACAACTGAAAATATATGGGCCGGAGATATAGCTCAGTGGTGCAAGCACCTGCCTGGCGAGCGCAAGGTCCTGAGTTTGATTCATGGTATATGTATATATATCCACTGAACATTAGTGTACTAAATTTCACAAAATAAATGCTACTGGAAGTAAAGGGAGATAGGCCTAATGCAATAATAGTGCATAATAGTAAGTTATTATGTCTCACAAAAGATAGGTTTTCCAGCCAGAAAAATCAAGACAGAAATATTAAATTGCACTCTAATTTGGACATGACAGACAGAAACTAGTCCATCCAGCATCACTATAATACACATTCTTTTCAGCTGCTCATGGAATTTTTTCCAAAATAGGTCACATTTTCAGTCACAAAGCAAATTTCACAGGAAAAGAAATTGGAATAATTGTTTGTATCTTATCAGATCATAATGTAATGAAATTGGAAATAAACTACAAAACAATCTACAAATAATATAAAAACACTTGGCCTTGGACATGGAAAACTATATTTTTGAATAATGAGTGAGTCATTGAAGAAATAATTAGGGTGAATTAAAACATTCCTAGAATCAAATGAAAATGGATTCTCTTTAAAATTAAAAAGAGAAAATGGAAACACACCTGCCCAAAAGTGTGGGATAGACTGAAGGCAGTTCAAAGAGGGAAGCTTATGACTATCAATGCCTGCATTGAATATCAGACAACTCAAATAAATAACCTAATAATGCATCTCAAGGCCTTAGAAAAATAAGAACAAATGAAACTAAAAACTTATGGAAGAAAAAATAAAGATCAGATTGAAATTAATCACTTAGAGACTAAAAGAATAATGTAAAAGATAAAGAAAACTAACAGCTGTTTTTTTGAAAAGATGAAAGATGGATAAACCATCAACCAAACTCACCAGAAGAGACAGGAGACACAAACTGCTGAAATTAGAGGCAAGAAAAGGCATATTACAACCCCTACTTCTGAAAAGCACAGGATTATTAGGCACTATTTGGAAACTTAGGTTTCAACGTAGTGGAAAATCTGGAAGAAATATAAAAATTTCTAGACACATATGACCTACAAAATTAACCAAGATATAAAAATCAACACAAATAAGCAATAAGTTTGAAGATTTAATAAAAAAAGTTCCAATGAATAAAAGCCCAGTACTGAATGGATTCTTTGTTAACTTTTATCAGACTTTTATAGAACTAATACCAATTCACCTCAAGCTGCTCCATGACATAGAGAAGGAATGGAAGCTTCCAAAATCATTCTAAAACAAAACAAAACAAAACAAAACAAAAACAGTAGATACCCAAACTGCATGAATCTTCAAAAAAATGAAACTAAGGCTCAGGATCTTAAATGAATATAGACGGAAAAGTACTCAATATATACCTTGAAAAAAAGCAAACACACAGCACATTTAAAAAAGTATAGGACTTGCTCAAGTTCGCTTTATTCCATCACTGCAAGGATAGTTAGACATATACAAATCCAGTGCACCACATAAATAGAATCAAGTACCATTAAAAAACCACATGAAAATTAATTCATGATATATGTGCTGAAGAAAATAGGTATAAAAGGATCTTGTCAGTGTAATATAGGCTACATACAACAAATCTACAGCCAACATCCTGCTGAATGGGTAAAAACTGACTTTCTGTTCAATACATACTTTACATTTCATCCAAAGAAATTAGGCAAGAGAAAAAAGTGAAAGGGATAAAAATAGAAAAGAAGCCAGGCATCCATCTGTAATCCCAGTACTCGGGCAGCTGAGGCAGGAGGAACATTACAAGTTCGAGACCAGCCTGGGGTACAAAGTGAGCTCAAGGCCAGCCTTAAATGCATAATAAGGCTCTTTGTAAAAAAGACAGAAAAAAAGGGAAGAAATTGAAGTATCTTTACTTGAAGATGATATGATCATTTACTTAGAAGTCCTTTAGAATACCATCAGAAGAACTTTAGATCTTATAAATAAATTTAAGGAGCAATAGGATAAAAAGTCAACATAAATAAATTAATGCCTTTTCTATACCCCAACAGTAAACTTACCAAAAAGTCAGAAAATAATCTTTTTCACAAAATCTTAGTCATATGTAGGACTCAGTGTCATCAAAGAGGTGAAAGTCCTCTGTGAGAAAAATTGTAGAGCACTCGGGAGAGTTTAGAAGACATAAGAAAATGGAAAGACCTCATGTGTTCATACAGCAGCAGAATTAATATCGTTAAAGTAGCTACATTACCAAAGAAATTTACGGACTTAGTACCCTGTCTACATACCAATGACATTCTTCACAGAACTAGAAAGAGCAATCCTAAGATCATAAGAAAACACAAAAGATACAGAATTCAAAGTAACCAAGACCAAAAAGAATAATTCTAGAGGAATCACTGAATAACATTCAAATAATACTACATAGCATCAAAAATAGCATGGCATGGAACATTGGAGAACAATGGACTGAAGTAAAGACAGAGGAACACTCCCACACACTGCAGCTATCTGACTCTCGACAAAGGAGCCAAAAACACACTATGTGTTAGGGAACTGAGTCTCTAATAAGTGGTCCTCTGAAGACTGGATATTCAAGGAGAAGATTAAAGCTAGAATTGTATCCCTCACCCAGTGCAAAAATCAACTCAAAATGCATCAAAGACCTAAGTATAAGACCTGACACTTTGAAACTGCTAGAAAAAAACTGGTACAAGAAAACTGCTAGTTATTTATTTGAGATGTTTCTTATGTGGGCATTTATAGTCATTAGATTCCGTCTTTGAAATGCCTTCACTCTACACCACCACTTCTGGTACACTGTATTTCCATTTTCACTTGATTCTAGGAATTTTTAAATTTGTCCCATGATTTCTTTAATGACCCATTCATTATTCAAACAGGAAGATATCCAGTTATTCTAAATGTATGAATCTACCAACAACTGGGCAAGGAAAGGAAGAGAGAAGACAAGAACTTTCATCGGACTTGCCTGGGGTCGCAAGTGAGCACTATCTGAAACAACTGGGCAGCTGGCAGGGTGATGCTAAGTGGCTGATTTATCCTGCTCCCTGAACTCTTTTACCTGCACTCCGTGAAGAAGGTAGAATGACAACTGGTTGAAAATTTGAAGAAATCTTTACTTTTGGAAATCAGTCAAGATCTTAAGAGAGAAAATGACTTCTGAAATAGGATTCTAATAGTTCACAAAATAATAGCAGGAATTGAGAATTGCATTTTATCAATTTTAAATGTTTCTTCCTAGCAAAGGAAGTCAGAGTGAAGAGACAGCTTACTGCATGGGAGAAAATCTTTGCCAGTTACTTTTCTGCCAGATTATTTTCTTGAATATATGAGGAATTTTTTAAGATACCAAAAAAAAAAAAAAAAACCCAGTTGATAAATGGGCCAAGGAGATGATCAGAAATTTCTTACAATAAATGTAAGTGCCTAATAATGGTGTGAAAAAGTGTTCAGAATCTTTTGCCCTCAAGGAAATGCAAACTGAAAGTATCCTGAGATTCCCTCTTGCTTCAGTTAAGATGGCTTCCTCAAGAACAGAAAAAATAGTAAATCCTGGTGAAGATGCAAGGAAAAGAGGGAAACATATATATTGGTGGTATTGTAAATTAGTATAGCAAGAATGGAAATCATTATACAAGTTCACTAGAAAACTGAAAAAGGAAACACCGTATGCTTGTTATATCACTCCGTAGTACATATCTGAATGAATTAAGGTTATCACACAGCAGATATAATCTCAACACCCATGTTTATCATAGAAAAATTACAACAGCCAAGCTATGAAATCAAGCGAGGTGCTAACCAATGGATACATGGATAGTGAAGATATGGCACATGTACACAATGGGCTGTTTTCAGTCGCAAAGAGAAATAAGCCCGACTCAGAGATACAAGTGTTGCATGTTTTTCTAATATGTGAAACAATAGGAAGAAAGATAGCTTGAAAGTAGAATGGAGAGCATAATGGCATACTGACTCCGTGGGATTTTTTGTTTTAGTAAAATTTAAAAAACTAAAATAGTACAATGCTTAGAATAATGGCTAAAGAAAACGTCAACAAATATGGGCCAATATTAAAATGACCACAGTATATTGGATAATATTTTTAAAATAAATATTAATTACTTGAAGAATGAAAATGTGTACTATCAAAAAAGTAAATTGCAAGAACACAAGCTTCAGACACATTGAACAAGGAAAAATTGCAAAACAGTGAAAGACAATATGCCTCTATTTGCATGCTACCAACTGAGAATCAAGCTTTCACTTTAGCATCAGTTATGACATACAGCAGCCTATTAAAGGTCCTATAAAAACTTAATTTGAGCTGCTTGGAAATCACCATTTTCCATAAATGCTGCATTGAATTCATCTGCTGCATTCATACTCTGATGATTTTCTAGTTGACAGTGGTCGGAGAATTTACAAGAAACAGGAAGCTAACTGCCCGTGCAAAAGTCAGGGGCACAAAGGGCTCAAAGTCAATAGATCAAAGGAATCAAGATAACTGCTATCTTGGATTTTTTCTCCTCCTTCAGACATGATAAGTTTTCTGTGGAACATTTTGGTCTTCATAGCAATGGCAGAATTTGTTACTGGAAATTTTGCCAATGTGTTCATAGCCCTGGTGAACTGCAGTAACTGGGTGAAGAGAAAAAAGATCTCCTCAGTTGACTGGATTCTTACTGCTCTAGCTGTCTCCAGGATTACTTTGATTTGGACACTCATAGTAGGTTGGTTTTTAAATGTGTTTCATCCAACTCGCTCTACTAAATTAAGAATTACTATTCACATTTTCTGGACAGTAAGCAATCATTTTAGTATCTGGCTTGCCACTATCCTAAGTATATTTTATGTCCTCAAAATAACTAATTTCTCCAACTGTATTTTTCATTGCCTAAAGAGGAGAGTTAATAGAGTCAGTCTAATGATTTTGTTGGGGTCTTTGGTGTTCCTGCCTTTTAGTTTTATGATAAAATCTGTGTATGAGGCTATGGAGATAGAAGAATATTTAGGGAATGTGACTTGGAAGACCAAACTGAAGAATAATATATACCTTTCCAAAAGAACTTTTTTCACTCTAGTGAACTTCCTACCCTTTTTGACAACCTTGATCTGCATTCTAGTTTTAATATCCTCCCTGAGTAATCATCTCAAGAGGATGAAGCTCCATGGCCAAGGATTTCAAGATCCCAGCACAAAGGTCCACATAAAAGTCTTGCAAACGGTGATCTCCTTTGTCTTGTTATTTGCCTTGTACTCTCTGTCTGTAATCATATCAGGTTTGTACTTGCAAGATACAGACACTAAATCAGTCTATTTGTTTTTCCTGGCTAGTGAAGTTTTATATCCTTCAGGTCATTCATGTGTCCTAATTTGGGGAAACAAGAAGCTGAAACAGGCATTTCTTTTAATTCTGTGGCAGGCAAAATGCTGGCTGAAAGAACTTGAAACTTTGATATTCATAGATCGATAACAGAGACATAATGTGACTTTTAACAGAAACCAAACTGTTGGAGTGTGTAATAATTTGTGTTTCTTTTCACAGTGTATTTGAATAATTTCTAAAGACACTTGTAGAAAGTCTGTTAGCTGAGCTTATTAAATAAAAGGGTATGTGCTTTATGTTAAAAAAATACATAGAGAAGAAACATTGCCAATAATATACTTAACCATTTTTTATGCAGACACATACATATATTAAATATGGTAGGAAGTTTATCAGAATTGTGAAGCCAAATATATTTCACATTCATATTCTATATTTTCTAGTTGAAACATGTAAGATATATATTTATGTCTTATGAGGAATTCTAACCTTATTTGAAGAAATGATTGTCATTTTCCATTCTTCTTTGTACCACATAAATGTATAAAGTATGTTAAGATTTCAATATTTTAACTTCCAAATTTTTGAATGTAAACATATTAAATTGTACATAACATCAAAGATGTATATTTCATGGTGACTTTATTTGTTCAAAAATTATTTTTTCATGTTTTACAGAGTAATATGATTGTTAATTTGAAATATGCACACAATAAAATCCTAAAGCAACAAACATATTTAAAATAAATTTTAAATGGGAGTATGAACAAAGAGTAGAAAAGGGTATTCTATTGAACACAAGTAGATAAGAAAGGTTAGAAAAAGATTTTACATAGTAAAGGATGAAGGCAGAATTGTGATCATGATAGGATTTTAATGTTGTTATAAGTAATAAATCAGGAAGCACATCTTCTATACTTCTTGAAATAAGGCAAAGCTCTTTTGAATTTGGGACCAAATTTTAAATATTTTATTTTCTTTCCCTAAACAACATTGGGGCCTCTGATGCCAATCATTTATTTTCCATTTTTAAAGTTTTTTTCGAGTTTAGCCCATGAAGAATATAAAGTTCCCTATCTTAAATTTTTTCTCACTGTAAAACTAGTACACAATTCATTATGTATAACTTAATAAACTTTCTTCAATCATTCAAAAGATATCTATCAATCCTTAAGATATAGAGAATTTCTTAAAGATCAGGTAGGTATTCTCTTGTGCAAAATGTGGAAATGTGAGACTACATTAACATAATCATTAATGGCAAATTATATTATAAGAATAAAATATATACCCGTGTATAATAACTGAATTTTTTGTAACCATAATAGCTCTTTGAATCATAAAATGTTGGCGTTATTTTCTGGACTATAATGTAGATTATCTCCACATGTGATGAATTTATGTGTGTTTATCACACACATCCACCAGTACATGAGAAGCACCAAGGAAGCCATGATCACGTGTCTTGTTTGTCATTCATACGCAGCACCTAAAATCTGGCACTTAGAGTACTTGTCAAAAATAGTATTTTAAAGCTGGGTGTGGTGACGCATGCTTGTAATCCCAGCACTCAGGAGGCTGAGGCAGGAAAGATCCATGGGAGTTCAAGGCCATCCTGGGCTACAAAGTGAGTTTAAGACCAGCCTGAAGTCAAAAAAGACACAAAAAGAGTATTTTACCAAATAAATAAATTGATAAGCAAATGGGGGTAGATAAACCAACAAAAATTTAAGAAAATCACAAAATCTGATAGTTGCATGGATTTCTTATTTTGAGTTTCATTTTGAGGATATATGTTTATTCAAATTAAAGCACTTTTTTAAAGGAACAGACTGTCTATTCTGGTTTATTGAGAATATATTACAATATAGCCATCATGCACTTATGTCATGAGTACAGAGTGGACACAAGTTAGAGCAAAAAGTTTATTCAGCACTTATGAAAATGTAGTCAACTTTTTAAAAGCATGTAAAATTGTGAAACTTTTTTGATATTGTGAATAGTACAAAATTTTGGTATTTTCTAGCTACCTATTTTATGTGTAAAATTAGCATTAAAGTTTTATATAGTTTAGTATCCAAATTCCCTCCTTCAATTTATTTCTGTCCATTTCTCTTATTAATTAATCAATTAATTATTTTTGCCATGTAGAAGGAATCCAGTAATTTGCACACGCAAGTCATCTGCTTTACCACAGAGCCACACCCCTAGCCCAACACACTTCCTGTCTAGGATATTTTGTTATTTTTTTTAGTTACTTTTCTAAATAAAAATTTTATTGGTGTATTTTAAACACATAAAATAGGAAGAAATAAAACCTCTATAATGTTCAATAAATATCTTAGCCTGGGGGTTCTAAAACCAGATCCAGTATCAGGAATTAAAGAGATATTTGGCTGTGAAGTTTGATCTAGGGCAGAAATAGGAAAAGCACATGAAAGTTGGGACAAAAGATTTGAGACAATGTGATGTGATTAGTGATTCTTTGTCCACAATTTCACAATGAACTGAGGGGTAGCATGGTGGTTTTTTTTTTTTTTTCACTTTTTGATATTATT